TATTATGGAACAAATTCGCGTCAGTACTGGCACCTGAACACACTTCTGGAGTGAAAAAATATCGTTTCCGGGGGTCCACGTATATATATTAATATATTTATTATACTTATGTATATCATATATATTATATATATATATTTATATATTATATTATATATATATATATATTATATATATATTTATATATTTATATATATATAATATGTATATATATATTTAATATATATATTTATATATAATATATATATATATTTAATTTATGTTATAATATATATATTATAAGAAATATTATATATATATATATATAATAATATTTTTATATATATTATATATATATATATATATAATATTATATTATATATAATTAATATTTCATAATATATATATATATATATATATATTAATATATATTATAATTTATTATATATATATATATATATTTATATATATATATATATTATATAATTTATATATTTATATATATATTATATATATATATATATATTTTAAAAAAAATATATATATATATATATATATATATATATATATGTATATATATATATATATATATATATATATATATATACACAGTGGACCCCGCATAACGGATTATCCGAATGCGACCAATTTTTGTAAGTTGTATTTATGAAGTGCGTTTGTACGGTGTATGTTTGGGGGTCTGAAATGGCTAATCTTCTTCACAATATTCCTTTATGGGAAATAAATTCGGTCCAGTACTGGCACCTGAACATACATTCTGGATGAAAAAAATATCGTTACGGGGGGGGTCCACTGTATATATAATTTTTTTTTTTTTTTTTTTTTCCAACAAGTCGGTCGTCTCCCACCGAGGCAGGGTGGACCCAAAAAAGAAAGAAAAATCCCATAAAAGAAAATACTTTTATCTTCCATTCAACACTTTTACCACACTACAATTATCACTGCTTTTGCAGAGGTGCTCAGATAACAAACAGCATTAGAAGCATATAGTATAAAGATGCACAACATATCCCTCCCAAATTGCCAATATCCCAAAACCCCTCCTTTAAAGTGCTGGCATTGTACTCCCATTTCCAGGACTCAAGTCTGACTATATGAAAATAACCGGTTTCCCTGAATTCCTTCCTTAAATATTACCCTGCTCACACTCCAACAGATCGTCATGGTCCCAAGTATATTCTGTCTCCATTCACTCCTATCTAAACGCTCATGACGCTTGCTGGAAGTCAAGCCCCTCGCCCACAAAACCTCTTTACCCCCTCCTTTCCAAACCTTTTGAGGACGACCCCTTACCCCTCTTTCCTTACCTTTTTTTTGAGGACGCCCCCCTTACCCCTTTTTTCTTCCCCTAAAATTTTATGTGTTTTACCCCCCGTCTTTCCCTACTTTGATCCATTCCCCTCTAAATACCAAACCACCTCAAAAACCCCCTTTCTTCTGCCCTCTGACTAATGCTTTTTTTTAACTCCAAAACCACCTAATTACCCCCCCTTGAATTTTCCCCGGGATAATATTTACACCACCATTTTTCCCCAAAACAGGACATCTCCCCCTTCCCCCCCAAAAACCCTTTTCCTCGCTGCTGCATTTACCACCCAAACTTTTTCATCCATATAAGAGTTGGGTTTGGACTACTATACTTTCATTTTTTTTTTTTTTTTTTTTTTTTTTTTTTTTTTTTTTTTTTTTTTTTTTTTTTTTTTTTTTTTTTTTTTTTTTTTTTTTTTTTTTTTTTTTTACCCTTTCCCCTTTCCCCCTTTTCATTTTTTTATTCCAAAAATTTCCCAACCCACCAACCTTTTTTTCCCCCAAAAAAACCCCCCCAACCCCATTAATGCAAAAATTTTTCCTTTTAAGAAAAAACTTTCCCCCAATTTTTTTAAGCACCAATTTTTTTCCCCACCAAAAAAAGGTTTTTTAACTTGGGGTTCCAATTCCCATTTTGAAAATTTTATTCCCCATTAAAATTTTAAACCCACCCCCCCCCGAACCAAACCCCCATTTACTTCTTTTACAAACCCCATCTATAAAAATTTAAACAACCATGGTGGGCCCTTTCACAATTTCCCCGTCTAAAACCCACTTTTACCGGGAAATATTCTCCCTCCCCCTTCTACATACCCAACCTGAGCCTCCCTATCCCCAAAAAGGGTCTTTACAGCATTTAGTAACTTACCCAAACCCATTCCATATACTGCAACATCTCCACATTGTCCTCTATCCCCCCTATCCTATGCCTTTTCTAAAAACCATAAATGCAATAAAAACTTCCCAAACCTTTATCTAAATACTGTTCACATATATGCTTCAATGTAAACACTTGATCTACACATCCCCTACCCACTCTGAAGCCTCCTTGCTCATCCGCAATTCTACATTCTGTCTTACCTCTAATTCTTTCAATTATAACCCTACCGTATACTTTTCCTGGTATACTCAGTAAACTTATTCCTCTATAATTTTTACAATCTCTTTTGCCCCCTTTTCCCTTTATATAAAGGGACTATACATGCTCTCCGCCAATCCCTAGGTACCTTCCCCTCTTTCATACATTTATTAAACAAAAGTACCAACCACCCCCAACACTATATCCCCCCCTGCTTTAACTTTTCTGTCATGATCCCATCATTTCCAGCTGCTTTACCCCCTTTCATTCTACGAATGCCTCACGTACCTCCACCACACTTACATTCTGCTCTTCTTCACTCCTAAAAGAGGGTATACCTCCCTGACCAGTGCATGAAATTTTTTCCCCCTCCCCTTTTTTCTCAACATTTAAAAGTTCCTCAAAATATTCTCGCCATCTACCTAATACCTCCCTCTCCCCGTCTACTAACTCCCCTACTCTGTTTTTAACTGACAAATCCATACTTTCCCTAGGCTTTCTTAACTAGTTTAACTCACTCCAAAATTTTTTCTTATTTTCATTAAAATTTCTTGACAGTGCCTCTCCCACTCTTTCATCTGCTCTCCTTTTGCACTCTCTCACCACTCTCTTCACCTTTCTACTTACACTTAGGTCACACTACACATACATGTACATGTTTATTTATACACACTCATCTGAGTTTTCTTTGATTTTATCTTAATAGTTCTTGGTCTTATTACTTTTCCTCTTATATCCATGGGGAAGTGGAATAAGAATCTTTCCTCCGTAAGCCATGCGTGTTGTAAAAGTCAACTAAAATGCCGGGAACAATGGGCTAGTAACCCCTTTTCCTGTAAAGATTACTAAAAAGAATAAGAAGAAGAAAATTGTCAAAGTGGGAAGTCTGAATGTGCATGGATGTTGTGCAAATGGTAAGAAAGAGATGATTGTGGATGTTATGAATGAGAAGAAACTGGATGTCCTGGCTTTAAGTGAAAAAAAAGCTGAAGGGGGTGGGAGAGTTTCAATGGAGAGGAATAAATGGGATTAGGTCAGGGGTTTCAATAGAGTTAGAGCTAAAGAAGGAGTAGCAATAATGTTGAAGGATAAGCTATGACAGGAAAAGAGGGACTACAAATGTATAAATTCAAGGATTATGTGGAATAAAATAAAGATTGGATGTGAAAAGTGGGTTATAGTAAGCGTGTATGCACGTGGAGAAGAGAGAAGTGTAGAGGAGAGAGAGAGATTCTGGGAAATGTTGAGTGAATGCGTGGGGAGTTTTGAATCAAGTGTGAGAGTAATGGTGGTTGGGGATTTCAATGCTAAAGTGGGTAAAAAATGTTATGGAGGGAGTAGTAGGTAAATTTGGGGTGCCAGGGGTAAATGTAAATGGGGAGCCTTTAATTGAGCTATGTGTAGAAAGAAATTTGGTAATAAGTAATACATATTTTATGAAAAAGAGGATAAATAAATATACAAGGTATGATGTAGCACGTAATGAAAGTAGTTTGTTAGATTATGTATTGGTGGATAAAAGGTTGATGGGTAGGCTCCAGGATGTACATGTTTATAGAGGGGCAGCTGATATATTGGATCATTATTTAGTTGTAGCTACAGTTAGAGTAAGAGGTAGATGGGAAAAGAGGTATGTGGCAACAACAAGAAAGAGGGAGGTGAAAGTGTATAAACTAAGGGAGGAGGAAGTTTGGGTGAGATATAAGCAACTATTGGCAGAAAGGTGGGCTAGTGCAAAGATGAGTAGTGGGGGGGGGGGGTTGAAGAGGGTTGGAATAGTTTTAAAAATGCAGTATTAGAATGTGGGGCAGAAGTTTGTGGTTATAGGAGGGTGGGGCAGGAGGAAAGAGGAGTGATTGGTGGAATGATGAAGTAAAGGGTGTGATAAAAGAGAAAAAGGTAGCTTAAGAGAGGTTTTTACAAAGCAGAAGTGTTATAAGAAGAGCAGAGTATATGGAGAGTAAAAGAAATATATATATATATATATATAATATATATATATATATGATATATGAATAAATGTATGTGCACATGCAAATACACACATGCAAGACAAGCCACAGGGAAATGGAAATCTTCAGTTCAAGATCTTTCATACTTCCATTCATTATCAGGAACTATGCAGTGTTGCAAGAGCAGCAACAGGTAGATTGATGGGAAGTTTTCACAGAGAAAAAGGTAGCATGTTGATGCTGGGCTGTTCCACCTCAATGGAACTGCCAACCACTGCCCTGTGTGATTAGTTCACTCCAGTCTTTCAGTTGTGCTACAGTTACTAATTGACCATGACATCTACTCTGCAGCTCCCCTGACCTAATACCCCTGTCTGTTGTTTTCCATTGCCACATTGCCAGTAAGTACCAAGACATGTTGGCTACACTTACCTGCTTGGTTCTGAAGTCATGCTTCCAGTGGCCCTCCTTACAGTATTGCCACAGTATTGTCATCATTTGTCTCTCCCTGGTTCTGGACATCAATCTTCAGTCTTCCTTTCCCTGAAAATTAGAATTACATGACTTGGTCGTCTCATCCAGACTGGACTTCAAGTGGATAGTGCATGCAGTCTCTGTAGGGCGTCCACCAAGGTCCGGTAACAGTTCCGCTCCTTTTACAGGTACATCAGGACCTGCAGTGGTGGCCCCTTCAGACTCATGGCCAGCTCTACGGCACACAACTCCAGTGTCCAGTCGTTTGCCTTCACCAGCAGCTTGAACTGCGGCAGGTATGCCTCTCGCACAACTGTGTCGTCAGCCTCTGGCAACTTCCTGTGTACAGGGTCCTCCTGCTCCTGGCATCTTGACTGATTCCTTTTTGGCCAGAATGCTGGCCTACTAGGATTCAAGTGTGTTCCCAACAGGACACCATTATTGCTCCACCAGCCTACTCGCCTGGTGTGTCTGACCCCAAGTGGTCTAACTCTCTGTTTGGTCTCTGTGGCTTCTGTCATGTCTTCTGCAGTGGCTGATTATCCAGCAACTGGCCATGAACAAGCTGCAATTCCTGCTGCATTTGTTTCATCTTGCCTCCCACATAGTCCAGCTGATGTGCTTGCAGAACTACCTGCTGTTCATACTGGCACAGTTGCTGTAATTTTCAAACCATCCTTTCCTGCTGCAGGTCCAACAACTGCTCTTGATTGTCTAACTCATATACCAGCTGGTAGATCTGCTTGCCATGCTCCCCCATTCTGGTCCAACCATGGTTCTTGGTGATTCAACTACTATGCCATCTAGTTTTCCTCAGCCAGGATTAACAACTACTACCAAAAACATGTCAAGCACTCCCTTAACTAATCTACTTGCTGCTGTACTGCCAGACTGCATTTGTTGTGCCATAGCAGTGATCTGTTGCGGTGCTGCTGTTCCTGAGATTTCTGCTGCCCTACCTTCTTAATTACCTGTCATTAATTATCTGTTATCTGCTTCTGGCTGTCATCTGTTGTTGATAGTGTTCAACTATTGTTTAACGAAGCCAGCCACATCAACCATTCAGCTTGCCTGGTTGATGTGATTTTTGGTGTGGATTCTCTCCTTCTATTCAGACATCTTACTGTCACTGTGTTTCTCACCCCTAACACCAAATGTTACATACAGGGGTGGTAGAGATTCAAGGTGTGGAATATACCCAGTGAAGAGCATTGACATTCATGATCCAAAACTTTTCACATATCAGCAAATATCAGAAATACTGCCAGAATGAAGATAGTTTTCAAGGAAAAATTAGACAGCTTCCTTCTATAATTGCTAGATCAGCAAGGATTTGATGGCTTTGTTGTCTTGTGGGCCATTAGGACAAACAGCCTATTTGACAGGTCATGCCTGGCCTCAGGCCGGGCTACAGGGTAGAATAGTTCTCGATATCTATGGTTAAGCTATCAAATGTCAAAATTTTTGGAGTAGAAATTAAAACCAGTGGCATAACCTCATCATTGTAAATGCATATACAATATTACAATGTTTAACAAATTGTAGGCATGCCTGTGACTGGTTTTGAGGGTTATTCTATCCTTGTTGATTGTTCAACCTGGCTGTTGCTGTTAGTGGCTCACCGGCAAGCTTAGCCATCGTAACCTGGTTTATGTGGCACATGGCAGAGACAGTGGTCTAGTTTTAAAAAAAATTTCACTTGAATAGTGATGTGATAATACAAAGTAAAGAGGGTTCTCATTACCCTCAGTCTCCATTCTTATTCACTTCTTATATCTACTCATTGTTGGCCTCTTTCACAAGACTTCACTATTCAACCATCAACCATTTTCCTATCAAATAACCAGCTTAGAATGCTTAAACAGGACATATTATACTGGTTAGCTTAACCCTTAACCCTTTCAGGGTCCACAGACCCTCTCAGAGACTTGTTCTCAGGGTCCCTCAAATTTCAAAAAAAAAAAAAAAAAAAAAAGGCAAAAAATTATTTTTTCTTGTGAAAAGATAGAGAATCTTTTCCCGATCATAATGACACCAAAAGTATGAAATTTGATGGAAAACTTACGGAATTATGCTCTTGCGAAGTTAGCGGTCTCGACGATGTTTACGCATCGGTCGATTTTGCCCACTTTGAGCCCTATTTTCGGCCAATTCCAATGTACTAGTTGACAAAAATCGTAACTATTTCGCTAGAACTCCATTTTTTCTATCGAATGAATACAAAAAACCACCAGTTTACTGATTTCAACTATCCAATGAAGTGGTCAGAATTTAGCAATTTTGCCAATTTCACACAAATTTCAAAAGATGCCAATTTCCATATAGGGTCCAGAATAAACAAGAAAGACATTCCTGGCACTAAAATAACATTTCCTCTGTTCATTAGTCACATCCCCATGCCCCTCTTACATTCTTTTGCTTTCCATTTTGAATTTTTATTCTCACAAAAAATAAGATTTACTGTTATGCAGACTACTGCATTAGTGTAGAAATGGTATAAATAATATCGGCACACTTGTGAAAGAATATTTGTTTACTTTTGAACTTTGGTAATCAATTTCAAGGCACTTTTCATTGTAAAATCAGTCAAAATCATCTCAATTTCTGTAATATGTCTTCCATTCTATACAATGAGACCAGGAAAACTAGAATACAACAATAAATACCATACGAAAATACAGTGCAAAGTCGCTGTTTTAATCCAAAAACACGGTCAAAGTTTTTTTTCGCTCATGCACTGTGTGCTGCAGGATTTTTTTTATTCTGCACACACTGACCATATAGACCTATTCTTTCATATGTAGGCCTACCAGCTTTTTCTCACTAGATTTGAAGGCGCTAGAATTTATGAGCACTAGTACGACATGGACCCTGGTGCGTAAGCCGTACTAGTACGGCCGAAACCCTGAAAGGGTTAAACTGTCCAAACGTAAATCTACGTTCACGCGCGTTGCACTCTGAACTTTCTATTTTACATGCTTTCTTATGTAAAAAAATATAGATCTATGTTTGGAGCACTATGCACGTGAACGTAGGTCTACTTTTGGACAGTTTAAGGGTTAAAGCTATGCTTCAGACTATCCAATACTTCAGTAATTCACGGAACCTAATTTCCACTTTTATGTGCTGCTTCCACTTGAGTGTTATGTTCTTATGTTTGACGTATATATACTAAAAAAATTCTAGCGGCTTCAAATCAAGCGCGAGAAAGCTGGTAGGCCCACATGTGAGAGAATGGGTCTATGTGGTCCTGCAGCACACAGTGCATAATGAGAAAAAAAAAACTCGGACCGTATTTTTGGATTGAAACGCCGACTTTGAGGTGCATTTTCATAAAGTATTTATGGTTGTATTCTTGTTTTCTTGTTCTCATTTGATAAAATGGAAAACATATTATAGAAATAGATGTGATTTTGATTAGTTTTATATGAAAAGGATCTTCAAATGGAGCTCAAAGTGGCAGAAATGTGCAATTTTTGCCGATGTTCAAAAGTAAACATTGTCCAATAAATGCCCAAGTAGCCATTCTGATACACAGACACGAATGGGTTGACATTATTTATACAATTATTACAATATTGCAGTAGTCTGCATAACAGTAAATCTTCTATTTTTTGTGTGAATAAAAATTCAAAATAGAAAGCAAGAGTATTATAACAGGGGCCTGGAGACGTGACTGATAAACAGAGAAAATATTATTTTAATGCCAGGAATGTCTGCATTGTTCACTCTGGACCCTACTTTGGAATTTACATATTTTTTAATTTGCATGAAATTGGTCAGATTGCCAATTTCTGACCACTTTATTGGGTAGTTGAGATTGGTAAATGAGCTGTTTCTTGTACTCAGTTGATAGAACAAATGGAGTTCTTAAGAAATAGTTATGAGTTTGGTGGACTGGAATAATGGAATTGGTCGAAAATAGGGCTCGTAGTAGGTGAAATTGCCTATGTGCAAATGTCGCAGAGGTTGCTAACTTTGTGTAAGCATAATTCCATAACTTTTCTATCAAATTTTGTACGTTTGGTGACATTGTCATCGGGAAAAGATTCTCTATCATTTCATAAGAAAAAATAATTTTTTTTTTTTTTTTTTTTTTTTTTTTTTTTTTCAAATATTTTGCAACACCAGGAGACACTTTTCAGGATTTGGGGTTGCGACAGTCAAAGGGTTAACACAGTAGTTACATTCCTGAAAATGCCGTGTTAGGTAAAGCCGTGTTAGATGAACTGAAGAACTTAGGGGAAAAAATAGGGTTATGTTCCTGGAAGCCCCCAAAAAGCCAAACAATTTTTTTTTAGACCAACAGATCTAACACAAATTAAAGTGCATATGTAACTGTAGTTCATTGTTGTAATACATTACTGCTTAAGATTACAAATACAATAGAAATAATAGTATTTCTTACCTTAAATTGTGGGTTATGGTGTTTGTGGATGATTGTAAAGAGTGGATATGCATGGTGTGGCCCTACTGGGCTGAGGTGGATGGTTGTTGGGTGTCAGCAGAAGTGGATGGTAGAGGTTCTGGTACTAAAGTCGATGGTTGTATTGGAGTGTGCATAAATTCTGTAATGGATCTCTGGGCTCTTCTACCCTGCAGTACATTATACAGCTGACGGTAAGGCATCATCAGCTGGTCTAGACCCCATTTCAAAGCACTGCTTCTAGATTTGTCAGGGTCCTCTTCAATGAAAAAAGTTTGTAACTTTACCAATATTATGGAACTGCTCACATAACTGCTGCAGTGTTAACCCTTTGACTGTCGGAACCCCAAATCCTGAAGTGTCTCGTGGTGTTGAAAAATATTCGAAAGAAAAGAAATTATTTTTTCTTATCAAAATGTTAAGATTAATTTTCTGATTGTTTTAAAGGCCCCCCTCCCCCCCAAAAAATGCGATCAGTACTTACCGAGATATAGAGGAGTAAAGTTGGCAAAAAATGAGCCGTGTATAGTAATAGCGGCGAATGCCACTCACTCGGTAAACTTTGGTTTACTTCCATTCGAAGGTTTATTTTTTTTTTTTCACTATTTTATTTTTTCACATAACTTATGTGGCCTGTGAGACCAAAGTAAGATGCAGTGTACATGTATACACTCGTATGTAACACAATAATCGCACAAACATTAGTATCATTATATTGTTTACAGTACTTGTTTATGCAAACAATATAAAAATTGTTTATTACTATTGTTCTATAATATATATACAAATGTACAATCACTGGACACTTTCCTAGAACTGCTGCAGCTTGTGGAATTCTTTGAAACATGGGTGTATGCACAATGGTGTTTT